TTATATATATATCTTATATATATATCTTATATATATATCTTATATATATATCTTATATATATATATATTCTTAAAAACTTCCAGTGTTGGAGCATTTACAACTTCTAGAGGCCAGTTGTTCCATTTATTGTTCTCATCGTCAGGAAATTTCTCCTTAGTTCTAGGTTGCTTCTGAGGTCATTGGTTTGAACCCAGGATCGTGGAGGTTTATCGCCGGTGTTTCTCCGGTGCTCCATTCCAAAGATCAGTGTGAGACCTGAGAAACCTGAGTGACAATCTCTCTTCCAAAGGAGCTTTCCTACAAAGTCCAGCCCCAGAAATCACCACTAAAAGTTGGGAAAGCGTCTTCTCCACTTTTGGGAGCTCAGGACTGTCTGCATTCAGGTATTTGAAGCCGGCCAATGATCCAGTGACTGTTTCTATGGCAAGTTTTGGATGGTGTATTCTGCATTTAAGCCTTGAATGGAGGCCTCCTAGAAACCCTGGGCTAATCTGAATTATGGTTTCTTCTTTATTCTGCGCCATTGGCCCGAAGGATATAGGGTTTCCTGCTTGAGCAGGGGATTGAACCAGATGACCTCCAAGGTCCTTTCCAAATCTGTTATTGTGTTAATAATATCCTTTTGGTTGTTATCTTGCTGTTGTTCTGGGTGCAAGGCAGAAAATATGAATTGCACAAGGAAGAGAAGTCAGAAGATGTTTGAGGAATGCTTGTTAAACTCAATCAAGAGCCGCAGGTCAAACCTGGATCTGGGGAAGTGGGATCAAACCTCCTTGAAGACCATGGTTGGTTTGTTGGCCTGTTTTTGGGGGGACAAACTCTGCAATCTATGCAATCTATGCATTCATAATAAATAACGTTTTTTGGCTTTTACACTGATTAGGAGTAGCATAAATTATCAGTTTAGGGGGAAATTTCTCCAGACGTTATTACCTTCACACAGTTTACTGAGGTTTCAGCCAAGCCTGTTGTGTAAACTATCTTATCTACTTAGGGTTCATACAAACTCACAATGTTGGGCTAACGGAATAAGCCAGCCTACTATCATGGGTTGCCAATACAGGTAAGAGTTGGTATGGCATACAATGGTTGTCTGAATGTTACTTCCCTGCAGAGCGCAGGAAGGGCCTGGCGGTTAAAAGAATACAATTCACAGAGCAAGTGGGTCCTTTTGATGAAAGACAGAAAAACACTTGCAATAAAGGTGAATCCGAAGGAAAGTAAGGGGGGTGGGAGGCAAGGAAAGAGGAAAATGGAAAGGGGAGGAAGGGGAAAAGGGAAATAGCTGAGCAACTGAATAATTCTATGGAAGGTTGCCAACTTTTTTCTTTTTAGAAATTAGGCAGGGATGCCTCAGACTGTGGCTCAGAGTGGCGCCAATCAAGAGACACAGCATTTCCTCCCATCAGTTCAACCGATTCTTACAAAAAGGAAAGTTAACAAAAGTTAACAAACAGGAAGCGGCAAGCCATGGCTACTCTTTTAAAAACCGACTGGCAAAGCAGGTGGATTCCACCACCTAAAAACCCAAACAAAAAAAGCTGTTCGCAGCTGTTGCTCAGGGAAGCCCCTGCTTCCCCTGTTGAATTTCTGCCTGCTGGCAAAGGGCAGGAAAACAGAGACAGGGTTAAAAATCGCAAGTGGTCCCTTTTCTCCCCAGCTCAGAGGAGACCAAACAGTTATGGAAGGCTCCCAGATGAAATTTTAAAGAAGAGATTAGACCACCGTTTGTCTGAACCGGTCTAGGGGTCTGCTGCCAGAGCAGGAGGGGTTGGACTAGAAGACCTCCAAGGTCCCTTCCAACTCTGTTGTTCTTATTCAAACAGGAAGGAAAGTCACGGGGTAAATAGGGGAACAGGTTAACCCAGGTGCTAGAAGACCTCCAAGGTCCCTTCCAACTCTGTTGTTCTTATTCAAACAGGAAGGAAAGTCACGGGGTAAATAGGGGAACAGGTTAACCCAGGTGGGGTGAAGGCTTCACCTCCCCACTCCATTACCCGTCTGAAACGACATAGGATCTCCTGTCTGAGTAGGGGGTTCGACTAGACGACCTCCAAGGTCGCTTTCAACTCTGTACTGCATTCAAAGGAGGAGGAAAGTTAACCCGGGTTTGTTGAAGGCTTCCCCCCCTCACCCCCGTCCAGTCATTCACCCACCCGGGAACTCATTCCCACCCGCCTCAAAAGCCTTTTCCCTCCGCTTCCGAGTCAACGTCTGGCGGGCGATCCGCGTCACGTGTGAACGCCCCTCTTGAGCCCGTCCCGCACGCGGAGAGGCCCCCCGCGCAAAGCCACTCACCCAAGCGGAGGGCTTGGTCGTACTTCTCCAGCGCCGCTTGCAGCCGCCCTTCCTTGCACAACAGGTTCCCTTCGTGGCGGAGCCGCGCCGCTCGCACCTGCCGGGGGAAGCCCTTGGCCAACAGGTGGCCCAGGATGACGTTGACTCGCAGCCGGGACTGGACGATGCGGGCGCCGGGACAGAGGCTGCAGACGGCCCGCGGGCTCGGGTGGGCGGTGGCCGGAGTGGCCCCGCGGCGTCGCAAGAGCGCTCCGCCCGCCCGCCGCCGCCGCTCGGCGCACACTCGGCAGAAGGTGTGGCCGCACAGCAGCGAGACCGGGTCGCAGAGAAAGCCGCCGCACTGGCCGCAGCCCCAGACGCCCCACGGGCTCTGCCCGCCCGCCGCCGCCGCCCGGGCTCCGCTCCCCACCAGGCGCCGCTTCAAGCGCTCCACCAATCCGCGCAGCGCCGGGAACCGGTGCAGCATCGCGGCCGCCGCCGTAGGAGGAGGCGAAGGCGGGCGAGAGGCCAGCTCAACCACGCCGCCGCCGCCGCCGCCGCCGCCGCTTCGGCCAGCCCAGGAGCTCCGGCCCCGGCGGGTGCGGAGCTGCGGCAGGCGGCCGTCGGGGTTCCGGCGGCGGCGGCGGTTGCTTGTGCCGCGGGGCGCCCCCGTGACCGGAGCTGCCGCTGCCGTTGCTGTTGCTGCTGCTGCGGAACCGCGACCCATCCCGCCCAGCTGCTCTCACGCCCCCCTCTAGGCCGCCCACCCCGCGCGGGCCCGGCTTATATAAAGCAGGACGGGCGCTGATTGGCTGGCGGGCTCCGGACGGCGGCGCGGGATTGGACGGCGGCGCCGACGCCGAGGAACTGGTTACAAAACCGGACGCTTCGCCTTTTGTAACAGGCGCTTCTGCTGCGCGCGGCGGGGTCCCGGGGGGGGGGGCAGTTCTCCGTCGATGGGGAAGAGGAGGGGGAAAGTGTTGCCTGTGAAAAAGACCCAATTCCCCCTTCTCCCACCCCCCCCCCCCCAGGGCTGGTTGCGACCCTGAGGGGTCACTAAACAAACGGTTGTAAGGTGAGGAGGGGTTGGGGAGGGGCTCCATCGATGGGGAAGAGGAAGGGAAAAAGGTTGCGTGTGAAAAAGACCCAAGTCACTTTTTTTCCCAGGGCCAGATTGTGACTCTGTGGTCACTAAACGAATTTCGTGTTTGCATTTATGACGGCCACAGTGTCCGAGGCTCATGCGATCCTCTTTGGCCACTATCTGACCAGCAAAGTCAATAGGGAAGCCAGATTTGCTTAGGACTGTGCTACTTACTTAACAACTGCAGATTCATTTAATAACGGTGGCAAGAAAAGTGGTTAAAATGGGGCAAACCTCACTTAAACAATGTTTCACTTAGCAACAGAAATTTGGGGCTCAATTGTGATTGTAAATTGAGGACTATCTGTACTACAGTAGTGGCTGAAATTGTAGAAACCTTTTGGGAAACGAACGCAGTATTTTTGATGTTTGATGGCTAATTACGCCCCCTTCCCCTTTTTTAGTAATACCATAAAATTATATATCAATGGAAAGATAATTTAATCAAGAATGTAATGCAATACCTTTCATGACGAATTTGCTATTAGAACAGCAGTTGTAAAGAAGGAAAGTGAAACCCGTAGAAAAAACGAGACATACAAAAATTATCACCAGGTCAGTTAATACTTACCTTTAACGTGAATTATGGTCTTACAACGTCTTCACCCATGGAGTGAACTAAGTCTTTTAGTTTTGCAGTTGTTATAATGTGAAACCAATATTGAATGATTGTTTCTATTCACTGGGTTTGATTGCTGGCTATAACTTTTCATAGAATACAGATAATTGAACAAACTTTGTTGCATTACATTCTTGATTAAATTATCTTTCCATTTATATATAATGTTATGGTACTTCTCCAAAACCAAAGTGGGCTATTGGCCATCACACCTCCAAAAAATAAAACTTTTCCCAAAAGGTTTCCACAATTTTGGCCACCATGATAGGTAGCCAGGCACGCGCTATCATCACAAAGCAGGAAAAACGGCCCTTAAAAACTTTTGTTTCCAACTTGGCAAACTTGAAGATGTGTGGACTTCAACCCCCAGAATTCCCCAGCCAATAGAGGAAGCGCCCATATCTGGCATCCTACCCAGGAAATTTTAGAAGTTGGAAGTCCACATTTATTAGTATCTCACTTTTTATTCTTACGAGTAACTCAAGGCGGTGAACACGCCTTCCTCCTATTTTCAACATAGCAACAACCCTGTGAAGTGGGCCGGTCCGAGAGAGGGAAGGGCTGGCTCAAAGTCACCCAGCTGCCTTTCATTTGTTATGGCAGAACTTGAACTCACCACCTCTTCCGAAGTCGCCAAGTTTGGAAAACACTGGTGTAAATAAAGTGGGGTCTACTTTTGAACCCTTAATTCAAAGTCATTGTAGCAAAGTCAGAATCAGCCAAAAATTTGGGACAGTCTTGTAATCCTTTCTTTAAGACCACACCTAGAATCCTGCATCCAGTTTTGGTCACCACACCATAAAAAAGATGTGAAGAAAGAATGCAGAGAAGAGCAACAAAGATGATGAGGGGACTGGCGGTTGAAACATAACGATGAATGGTTGCAGGAACTGGGCATGGCTAGTCTAGTGAAGAGAAGGACCAGGGGAGACGGGATAGCAGCCTTCCAATACTTGAGGGGCTGCCCCAGAGAGGAGGAGGGAGAGGGGTCAAGCTGTTTTCCAAAGCACCTGAAGGCCAGAGAAGGGATAATGGATGGAAACTGAGCAAGGAGACATTCAACCTGGAAATAAGGAGAAATTGTGACAGTGAGAACCATCAACCAAAGGAACAGGAGTTGCCTTCGGAAGTTGTGGGAGCTTCATCCCTGGAGGCTTTCAAAAAGAGACTGGACTGCCCTCTGTCGGAAAAGGTGTAGGGTCTCCTGCTTGGGTGGGGGTGGGTGGGTTGTTGACTAGATGACCTACAAGGTCCCTTCCAACTGTTGATTTCTCACACTAATATGGTTTTTTTAAACAGCGTAGGTTATGTGAGCAGCCATTCCCTTCTTCAGTTGTCCACCCGATCCATCAACCCATTAGAGGGGTAGCTGAATAATTTTGTTTGGTCAACATGCCAACATGCATTGGGTATTTCTGCTCAGATGGGAGTCCCTGCCCACTTCCTATTACAAGAAACAGTTTGGAACGAACAAAGAGCACTTTAGCCAAAAAAAAACAAAACGAAGTGGTGTGCCAACAACAAGAAATTGTCTCTGCCCTGCAGTTTATGATGTAAAAGAACCAAAAACAAATCCAAGATGCTATAAATCTAGATAGGAAGGGGGGGGGGGAGAGTGAAAATGTGGGAAGATCTGCTTTGCTTTAGACTAGATGACCTCCGGGACCCCTTCTAGTTCCAATTGCGGGACTTGGTTCAAAAGGGTCGTGGTTGGAGTGTGTACCCTGGAGGCAGGGATGTTGTGGGTCTTGACATCTCTGAGGATGCTTTTGTTGGCAATGCTGGCTCGGGGATTCTGGGAGTTAAAGTCCACACATCTTAAAATGGCAAAGGTTGAGAAGCATTAAGCCAGGCAAAAACAGGAGCCCTTAGACTTATATACACCGCTTCTCTAAGCCGTTTACACCCAGCAATCCGGGTCCTCATTTCACCCACCTCGGAAGGATGGAAGGCTGAGTCAACCTTGAGCCTGGTGAGATTCGAACGGCTGGCAATGGGCAGAGTCAGCCTGCAATACTTCATTCTAAGCACTGTGCCACCACGGAACGCCCATGCCTGCCTGCCAGAAACCAGGCTGGCGCTCGCGTGCCTATTTTTTGGGTGGTTTTGGCACCGTTTTCCGCCTGTTTTCCGGCACTTGGGTATCCGTGAAGGCCAGTTGGCCCAACAGCGCACAAGCCCACAGAGGGCTCTATGTGCTACCTCTGGCACGCATGCCGGTTTCCCCATCACAACACTAGAACAAACTGGCTCCTTGCTATTTTGCAGGGTTGTTGGGAGGAAAGTGAATTCTGGATTTTGCTGCTCTTTAACGGGGGATTTCCCCCACTCCAAAAGGACTAAGAGCCGTTTCAGTGCACGCAGATCCAACACTCTGAAACGAACCAGGCAAATGAATCCCACAGTTCATCTGAAAAGGCTCTCTGGTAATAATTATAATTATTATTTTTTAAACATCTGGAATGAATCATACATAAAAAGGGTTAAATAGGAATTAGGATACTATGAACATTCATGCGGAGAATTCAAAGTTGCTTTTTTTTAAAAGTCACGTAAACAACCTTCTAACCAGCAGTTTCTGACCCAGAAAATAATAAAAGAAAAAGAAAAGTACAGCCAGCTCTTGTAAGGTTGGACAACAACACACACAATCACGCACAGACAAAAAGGTGTCCTTGTGTTTTCTCCGAGCTGTAAACTCTTCCTCTGTTGAAAACCTGATAGTTTCTTTGTTTTCAATGTTCAGTCCTGTATCTTCAAAATGCTTCTTTTCTCTAAGTCGTTCATCTCCTTTAAGATGAGAGCGATGTTGTATCTTAATTCTTGGAATTTGGCCACGGGGACCTGACAGATAAAACAAAATGAAAGAAAATTCAAACTTTAATGAGTTGAATTGGAATCTTTGTAACATTTATAACTTTCCACATTTATTTAATAACTAGCTAATAACCCAGCGTCCTGGTATTCATTTATAGGGGGGAAATGTCCGGACCAAACATAATTTCTAATGTTGGATTTTCCCCCTTACCAGAGGGAGTCCCCTTGTGGAGTACTGTGAAGCTGTTACCATGGCAACTCCAATGCGCTGTACAGTAGAAGCCATTTTATGGCAGCACAGTAGAAGTCGTTTTAAGGCACAACAAGCTGTATTGTAACAGAACACACTCTAAAAGGTTTTAGGGGTGTCTTACCCCCACAGTATTTGTTTCCAGAGAGTAAGTCATCTGTGTACTAAGTTTGGTTGAAATTGCTCAAGGCATTCCAGAGTGTCTGTGTTTGCTTTAAATTTCTACGTTTAAAAAAATGGTTTTTTAAAAAAAAACCTCATTAAACGATGCAATTTTTTTTGTAAAAAAAAAGTTTTCCATCCACAAAATTCACATTAGCGTACAACTCGGATTGTGAGGTAAGTTAGAATCTCAGACCTAAAACATGGATTCTGGGGAGCATTTTGAGCTGAAAAAAAACTATGCCAAAATTCAAAGGAACTTTGCTAAAAACAACTTTAGCTATCTTGCTAGCAAGGCTTACTTCAAAGCGATGAGCAGATCCATCCGAGAGCTTCAGTTGCATTAAGATGGAGGGCTGCAAAGCCCGGGCCAGAGAGCTGGGGAAAAAAAAAACATGAACCCCGTGAGAGAAGATATGAGAGCACAAGCAAGAATGAAGATTTTGCAAATTTCTATCCATCCCCCCCCCCTCTCTCACCACCAGGGGAAGCCAATGAAAGAGAGTAATCTGTTGCTCAGAGTTGACCTGAGGGCTCCTTGGGGCTCTCTGAACTCTCTGGTTGTTTCATAGCCCAGCTAGGGAACATCATCAGTGCTCGGAGGGAGGGAGGTTTGTGGAGAGGAGGAGGAGGAGGACTACGGGGTCCTTGGTGCTCTCTGAGCTTCCTTGTTTCCTTGCAGACATTTCATTACCAAACTAGGTGAAGTCATCAGCACTGATTATGCTACCTAGT